TGACTTTCAAAGTTATTGGGATATGACTTTAAAATTCAGTATAAGTCCGGGATGAAGAACTAGGCAACAAATGCCATGTCCAAACGTATAGGGGAGCTCCAAAAGATGAAAATATCAATATCGTTGATGTTGCACTGGGAGGCCATTAAGGAGAAAAGTGCACAGGATGAGGAGCTGGGGAGGATTAGGATAGATTTACTGAATGATAGGAATAACCATCTTGGATATTCTCTAGAAGGGGAGAGGTTGATGTACTAGGGGAGATTTGTGATGCATAGGACATTAGTCCATATTCCACACCTATTGTAGTAGTTCCATGGGAGTGCGGTTAGGGGTCACTCAGGGGTACAGAAGACCTACTGGAGATTACAGTAGAGTTTTATTGGAAAGGGAAGCATAAAGATGTAGAGGGGTTGGTAGTCAGTTGTGAGGTATGTCAGAGGAACAAGTATATGGTCATAGCTCTAGGGGGCTTACTTCAAACCCCTGACTCTACCTTATCGGATGTGGGAGGAGGTCTCCATAGGTTTTATAGACGGGCAACACTGATCGGAGAAGTTTATTGTGATTTTAGTGGTAGTGGACAGACTGAGCAAGTATGCTCACTTCATCCCCCTACGACATCCCTACACAGCAGTGATAATGACAGTAGCTTTCATCAAAGATGTGGTCTGACTGCATGGGGTAATGGAGGCTATAGTATTCGACAGGGATAAGGTGTTCCTCAACCATTTCTGGAGGGAGTTATTCAGGTTGCAGGGGACAATACTATAGAGGAGCATTGCTTACCACCCCTAGATGGATGGGCTAACGGATGCAGTCAACAGGAGTCTGGAGACATACCTACGATTTTTTGTGTGGGAGCCACCTCAACTTTGGGTCAAGTGGCTAGCATGGGTGAAGTATTGGTTCAACACAACGTATCATTCTGCTTCCCAGATGACCCCATCCAAGGTGTTGTATGGACGAAACCCACCTCACTTGGTGCGTTTTGGGCAAAATAATACTCCAGTTTCTTCAGTAAAAGTATACTTGGTGGAGAGGGACTATGTATTGGGAAAACTAAAAAAGCATCTATTGAGAGCTCAGCATATTATGAAGAAAAGGACATATGGTCATAAGAAGGGCATCCAATTTGAAGTTGGGGATAGAGTGTGATGTGATACTACTAGGAGTTACTTGCGAAATTAAAAGAAACAATTGATTAAAACTTGCTAATGAAAATTATTGCTTGCAAATAAGGAAGAGTTAGGAATTCAAAGTAATCAACTTGCTTAGGTTAAAGAAGCGCGTTTGATATTAACCGAACAATCCAATCAAAATTCAAGACAATTGGGAAATACTAAGTACACATAACATAATCCATCACTTACCAACGAGAGGTTCACCTTGAATACCTTCTCACTCAATCACTCTTAGGCTTTAGCAGAGAAAGATGAACCATACGAAGAAGGATATTACCACTAGGAAGACGGCGCTAAAGACCTTTGTTGATGGATAAGTAGCCGGCGGTGGAGGAGGTGGTGGGTGACTGATGATTATCCAACGACCCAGTTGAAGGTGCTCTTCAATCAATAATGTTAGTTAGTACAAGATGCGGTCGATGTATCCTTCCACAGTCTCGTCGTTATCAAAGAAGACGTCGAAGAATGGGGATCCAAGAATATCTGTCCTTCCTTGCTCGTCGAAGACAAATCCGTGGTCGACCTCAGGGTCGGCTATACAACATTGGTAGGAAGGAGGAAAGAACTTGTTTCCTTCCCTTAGCTTCAAATAGCATGAGGGTTTAGGTTTTCCAAGAGAGATGAGGCAAGTGGAGAGGGCGGCCAAGGGTGGAGAGGAGGGGACGGTTTGAATGAGGGAGAATTAGGTTAGGTTGGACGGGGGGGAGGGAAGTTTAATCCAAATCTGAAATTAGTTTCAGATTCTAATTAAGTGTGGAGGGAAATAATTTGAAATTTGAATTCAAATTAATGTGTGATTGAGAGCTCAATTGAAAACCATGAAGAAAACCAATCAATGGGGGGAGGCCGGCGGCATTACGAGAGGGAGGAGGGTGTGGGGTTAATTAGAATAGCTTCTAATTTGGTCTTCCTAATTTAGGAAAAGAAAAAAGAAGAGTCGGTGGGTGGGATGGGGAAGAGGAAGAGAAGAAGAAAATAAATTAAAAACCACGAGTCGCGAACTCTTCCAACTACTGGTGGGTGTTGTGTTTGCTCACCTCGAGCTCTCTCTCCCTTCTCTCTAGTGCTCTCACAAGAAGAAGAAGAAACAAAGAAAAATTTTCATTAATCATTCATCAAAAATCTTACAACACATTAGACCATTATATATAGGTCTCAATCATGAAAAAGGAAAAATTACGCGATTACCCTCTGGGCTACAATAACAAGACACTTCCCCAAAGGGGTAAATTCGAAAAACAACAACGCTAAATAAAACATAACATTAAGAAATGCATCAAAAGTAAAGACGTTGAATCGTAGTCGTAGATCTGCGATTCCTTCGTCGATAAACTTGTTGATAACGTCTGTCGATGTCCTCATCAGAGTGTTCTTGAAGCTTCGACCTTACAAACAGAGGACGGTAGCTAACAGAAGGAATGAGAAGTTGGCTCCGCGATATTTTGGCCTTTATGAGATATCAGAGAATATTGGAGCTGCATCTTATCATTTGATTTACTCCCCACCGCTACGATACATCCAGTGTTTCATGTATCTCAGTTGAGAAGGGCTATTGAGGATCACATAGCTTGTTCTGAGTTGTTGACCACGCTGACTATGGAATTGGTAGTTGTGCTAGAACAAGTAGAGCTATAAGGGGTACTCTAGAGAGAAGGGATCAAAAAAGTGTTGATTAAATGGAGGGATCTTTCCGATTATGACGCTGCATGGGAGCCGTACAAGAGGATGCAACATCAATTTCCATCTTTTCACCTTGAGGACAAGGTGATTCTTTGGGAGCAAGGTACTGATAAGCCGGTCCATGAGGGACTGGTCCAGCCGGCCCAACACTTGGACCGACCCCTTGTATACAAAAGGCGTAAGCCTGGTGTTTCCATCCTTGGTGGGTTCCTCCCCTATCCTATGGAGCCCACAACTTAAGTAGAGAAAAAGAAAGAGGGGTTAGGAGAGAAAGTTTGAATTAGGAGGGATGTTTAGTCCTTTTGGGAGTATTTTATGTGCTTTGTGTAGTATGGTTGGATTAGTTTTAGGGTTATCTTGAGTTTTCTAAATTTTCGTGGTGCTTTGGTGTTCTTAGGATCTAACGATGTCTAGAGATTTGGGAGGGATAAATCCTCCTCTCGAATTGAGGATCAATTATATCTTGCTATTTTCTTTCATCTACTATTCAATCAAGGGGTTTTTGTCTTGGCATAATTGTTGAAATTCTAATTTCTCTTTTTTTTTTTACGATTATTTCCTATCACCATGACACAACAAAACAAAACACTTGGCAGTAGGATCATCTTGCTTTGATATTAATCTGATGTAGAGAAAAAAAGAATGAACCTATTATTTTTTTCCTTTTTTTGAAGAAAGATGCAAGGAGAAATGGAACAAAGAATATATAAATAGCCTTCATGAACAATTTTTTATCGCATCATCAATCTCGATTAGCTTCTTCAAAGGTGATAGTAGCCACTAGCCACGAATAGTCCTTTGTTATAAATCCACTTTTGAGTATGAATCTCCTTTTCATGAGCAGTTTGTCGCCATGAATTAGATCTTCAAGCACAAGAAATTTCATCGTCTATTCAAAGTCATAGGAACTACATTTTAAAAAGAAAAAAACATTCATTCATCCATTCATAAAAGCAAGTGATTAACAATACAATAGGCTTATTATTTATAAGAATAAAAGAGAGTAATTAAAAGACCATGAAATAAAAATTTTAACCCACCACAATATCAGTACCTATCACCTACTATTTTCATACATATATCACCATTTTTATATCTACTACCAAATCCAATAATATAAATGGACAGCACATATAGGCCCAAAATGCAATATAACTCAATTACATACCCTCAACTCTCTCACAAAGATGATATCCATAGTTACATATAATTTAAGACTCTCATACTAATTTTCACAAATGCTACTATATCAACCTCACTTGCTTGCATGCAAGAAACTTTCCCACTTCCTTCTCCCATCCCTCACCATGTGGTTGCACCATTGTTTGCTCCCTCTAGCACTCTTCAACTTCAAATCTACATATGTTCTACCCCCCACCCTCTATTTCCCACTCCTTTCCCAATTGTAAAGATCTAATCCTTATTGTGATTTCTTATATAAAGGCTTAATTTCCTGCAATGAAATCAAGCAAAAAATTTTTGAAACTTCTCCCAAATCTCTTTTTCTTTTCTTCCCTATTGTCCGACCGTGCTACAGTAGATACCAATACTACAACAAGTAGCCAAAGTCTACAAATTTGAGTCTTGATGGAATTGTTAGACAAATTATGTAATCTTGAATCCGTTATCAAGATAACACGTGGCAATCATTCATTTGTTTTTTCTATTTCTAAATCGCTTATATAAACCACTGTATCCCTGTTCTTTTGATATAGAAAATTACTTTAACTTTTCTGTCTGCTCTGTCTTCCGGTTTCCTTCTCTGTTGCTTTCTCCTCCTTTTGCCAGTTAACAGGAATGTGATAAGATTACAGTGAAATTAGGACCGAGAACATAAGATTTCAAACAAATAAATTAGAATTTGGGAAAAAGACGCCCCACAGCTACTGAAAAAATAGAGATTGTCGACATCATATTTGGAAGGCCCCAATAGTGCGGTACAACAATCAATAACAAACAATTCACAAATCAACTGATGAGCTTGATTATATAGTACATTCATTTTTTAGAAGAATTTGCTGGATAAATCATAAATGAAACACAAAAAACACATCTATTCGAGCAAGTTGTAACCTGCTAGTTAAGACAAGATAGAAATTAGCAACCATAAAAAGGTACATGATCAAGTAAAAATACCTGATACCGCAGATTTGCTGAAGTTCCAAGAAAAAAACTATAAACAACAGCTGATTTCAATATGGGAGTTCGTTTCCTATTTCCATCGTTAATAAAAGAATTGTTCAGATATCGACGTATGGCATATAAGACGTCTGAAGCAGCTCCAGCTCCAACACTAGAAATAAAACCTACACTAGCAAGTTTCAGGCCTCCAAACAACACTGATGCCAATCTCTGATTCGCATTCCAGTCTTTTCCAACAATACTCTTTTGGAAGGCATTGTCAGGCAAGGATCCAAGAAATCCTTTTAGCAATTCTAATTTATCCAAGGGGGAGCTATCTTGGACTTGAGAAATAAATGACATAGTTGGTGCAGGAAGCCACACTGTAAAAAAATCAACCACAATGCCTCTGATGGTATCAGTCAGGACATAGTCAATTTCTTCAAAAAAACGACCTTTACGTCTTTCATATTGTGCTAAGAGGGTAGTTGTTATTGATATAGCTTCTTCAATAGCTAACCGATTAAGAAACTTGGGGTCTGCCAGTAACCTTTCCCGAAACCCCTGTAAAACATGATAGTAAATGCTGATATTCCTGGAATTGCATCTTCCCATACAAAAGCAATGTACTATCTTACAAATGAAAGTATTTATTAAAGCATCAAGAATTTCATATATTTAAAAGATTAAAAAAAAAATTTGGCATCTCCTCTATTTATCAAGACCAAGCTACACTTAACACGAATTACGAAATTGTATGAACACTTACTTGAAATCGATGAATTAGTTCAGCAATAACAGGATACTGCTCAAGGTCAAAAAAGTTCTGCAGTATTTCAGGAGATACTACTCCAAGGTCAAGGCCTTTCTGCAGATCCTGTACAGTAGATAAAATATGGAATTCAAAAAAAGATTTGTATAATGAACAATGCAACAAAATTAGATAGAAAGAAAAATAAGCACAAAACAAAAGAAGAGCTTCTTCACTTGAGAAACATAACGCATTCCCTAAAGGAATAACGCGCCATTAGTTTTTCTTTTTTACCTCACTGAATTGGGTGTTTTTTATAAACATGATTTTATAACTAGATGAAAAAGACACTTGAACTAACAGTTACATAAAATTATCATCATTAATATATATATTGGCAAGGTGACGAACCACGAATAATATCCATCAAATAGAAGAGAAGAAAGCCGACATTCAACACCACATAAATCCAGAATGCTAAATCATCGAGAGAGTTATTACAACTAAATATCTAGAAAATCTGTGAGAATAGAAAAAGACATTTTTTTTATTATGAATTGACGAGAGAACATCAGATGAAACCTTTTCTCCACTAAACAAATTACATTCTAATAGAATCTTAACACTAAATTAAGCTTAAATCATTAACAATAATCGCTCAAAAAATTTGAAGTAATATCGATGAACATAATTGTAATATCACAAGGAGAAGAAATAGTATTAAGTAATAAGGGGAACCTCAATATGTTGGCATATATTTAACCCAGGCATGGCTCTTGTTGTACCATAAATCCTAGCATCTAAAACTAATGAGACAGAAAATAGAGTAGAGGATATAATCATCCAACAAACCATAAACAGTAAGCGAAGGAATTATCTCAAAAGATGAATCTAGAGAAATATCTAGAGTATGAGCTCCCAAGGGGACCAAGGCAGTGGAAGCATCTCATCGCAAGCTTGTATGCTTCATTTGATCAGAAGGAAATACAACAGAAAATTCTTTGCGTCTATAATATGATCAAAAGAGCCAACCCCAACAGTTAAAACTCTAGAGGATGATTTCCTTAATTCCGGATGGGCCTTGAAGAACTCAACATAGTCATGTCTAAAAAATTTATAGGCCTTGCAATATGAGGGCAAATCTTCAAATTCTACTTTTTATCAAAAGTCATATGATGAATTAAGATGTGAAAATCCCTCTTGGAGTCATGTCACCCGCTCCTAAAATCATGCCTCCACTAGATCTTTCGCCTGCTTACAATCATACCTTTGCTAGTTATGCCTCCACCAAGTCCTCATCTAACTTGCAAGCACACCCCAGCAACGGCTTCATCAGTCAAGCCTGTTCCAGGACCACCTCCAACTAACAATCATGCCCCTCGTCCTCTCCATGCAACTGATAGCCATGCATGTGCAAGAATAGACTGCCATCCCTTGTGATAATTCCAATATTATATACTACCTATTTTACTTATTCATTAGTTAATTCTATAACTAAATTTCAATCCCCACTAATGAGCATTTCCCATTAGAAATGATCTTAAGATTGTACAAATCAGAGAACTTGGTGGAATGAAACACTCTCAACTATTTTCCATTTTTTTCATTGTAACAATTAGGATTTTAATTTTCCTTTCCCGTTGTTGCATCCTTCAGTGTTTCATTGCACAAACTAGCTTTTACCCTTTCCATTTCGCTTATTATAGCCTTTATCACTATATTTATACATTCCTTTCCTTTTTCCTTATATTTCTTCAAACAAGAAGCACAATTTCCCTCTCCATAGAAAACAACAACAACAACACCCATATTCTTTTGGTCTCAAGTTCTCTTGGGATTGAGGAATGTAATCCAAATCCAATAGGTGAGTTGCAAAATATCAAATCAATATACTAGTTGAATGTAAAGAACTATCTAAAGTGATTTCAATTGGTTCATGAATTTTTTAAAGGAAGAAAATAATTAGGCCATTAACTTGGCATCGGCCCAAAGCAAGAAAATCCCACATTAAATCTTGGATTTAATAGGACATTATGGTGATGTCCTAATAATGAAACTTTATGGCTCTGAAAAATAAGTGATCTATTATTGACCTCTGTAATGAAACCAAAAAAAAAAGAGAAAATTTTTTTGTTGAAATCATTAACTTTGCTGCCGCCCATCCCATATCCTTGATGGATATCCCGCTCAAGTCTCGTAGCTCTGCAAACGGCGTCGAAACCGTCCACTCACGCATGCTTCGCCTTGATCACACCTCTGCTCGCATTAATAAAACGAAGACAGGGAGCTCTCTATTCGGCTCTTCCATGCTTGAGCTCCTGCAACTCTCCTCCCTTCCCGCTTACAAATTCCCACACACAAAAGCCTCCTCTGTTCGCAAGTCCAGTCGAAACTTTCGCCCCTGCTCTTCACTATGTTCGATTCCTAGACGATTTCAATTTCTGCTCAACCTGCAATAAACCAAACCGCAATTCTTCCTCACGACAGAACCCTAACCTCTGACCCTTCCAAGACTCGACCTGCCTCCTATACCCGATGCCTCTTTCTTCAATCGAATTCCACGATCCTCAAGTCATCTGAATTCAAATCCCACAACCTGATCAACCTAATTTCCATAGCCCTCTACCTGCTGAGCTGCATCTCAAGGTCAAAGACCTCCGCCTCTACCTCTACCTCTACTGTTCTAATCCAAAGGGCCTCAACCCGCCAAACTCCAACATCGTTGCCCTAATCCCGACCACCTGCTTCCTACACAACCTCTACACAACCTCAAGCAACCGGCCCAAACTCCCTCTCTACTCTAGCCGCGAAACCCACAGCAAACCGACGTCCCTTCCTATACATGCAACAAAATCCCCTTCCAATCCCACTTCATCCTCATAGCTGAACGCCTCTCAGCTCTTGCTGACTCAACCATTGCCTCCGATCTCCACAAGCCGCCAACAATGAGGTAGGGATTAAGTTAATTTTAATATTAATAATAGTTATTAATATTAGCAATGTTATTATAACTAATTATTATTATTATTACTATTTTAAAAAATGAAAAAAAATGTGAATGAAATAAAATGAATAAAAAATTTTGCATTAATCACCGACTCCGCCATCATCGCTCGTCACTCAGGTAAGGATATCTCAACTCAAAAATCCCGCTCTTGGTGTTTGCAGCGAGCTAGAGAACCCCCTATACGCTCTCTCATAGCACGGTATAAGAGAGTGGCGCGACACTTACGACGAGGCAGGTAGGCCCTGTACACGCTCTCGTAGTGTGGCGGGGACACTTATAAGTACCCGTACGAGCTTCAGTGCAATGGGAAAATAAAATTATGCCATCTTTCAGAAAGGTACATCGAAGACTCATACACGCTCTCGTAGCATGGTGGGACTGAAGAAATACGACCACGGTGTCGCCCAACAACTACCATGTAGGATGGCCAAGACTCTTAAAATTTTTCCTACACAGGGGAGGCACCAGGAGACTACCGAAAATTATACTGACGAGGGCCTTAGTTTGAACTCAAATGAACTAAGTGTAGGGGACTCGAATTGAACATGAGCTACATGGAACTAAAATGAACAATCAATAAGGAACTTGATTTTAACAAAATAACAACACAGAACTCAAAAAGACGACAGAGAATTAAAGCTTAAACTTATCATGCAAATAATAAGTGATAATTCAAATAACTCAAATGAACATCAAGGGAAAACTACAAACAATGACTCATGCCAGCTAAAATTTCTTCACCTCATTCATAAATAATAATCAAAGTGAGCACTTCTCTTGATAGCGAGTAATAATGTAGGCCCTTAATTTGCCCATGAAGGATATCCATCTCGATCATGCTTATAAATGAGCGGATGTGATCATAATGAATGGTGAAAGCATTGGCAACATATGATGAATGCAAGCATTGACTTGTAATGTCCGCCATAACTCACACATGAGCAATAGATCTGCAAAATGAGTAAACATGAAGGAATGCAATAGTGTCTTTGTCATCAGCAATGATTCGACGTCCATAAAATACACCAATAAAGGAGATCAATGCATAATGAGCATAACGAATTGATGACCAAGAGATATTGAACAAGCTTTAAGCAAATACAATTTGCAAGAGATCAATATCATTTGACCCTACGCAAGCATACAAAACCTTGGCACATGTTATGAACCACCTATGGATAATGATAGTTGATGCGCAGTACTCATGTCAAGCATGCCAACTGGTTTTTTCCATCAGCTTTGTATTTCACAAAAAAACACCCATTTACAACTGACTGGTTTTTTCCCTACTAGTAGGACGGTGATCTCCCATGTATTGTTCTTTTCTAAGGCCTGCGTTTCATCTTTCATAGCACTTTTCCAATTTTCATTAAATAAGGCTTCAGAAATATCATTATGAATATGAATATCATTTAGTGCAACTAGAAAAAGTTTGTCTAAAGGTGAGATATTATGGAAGAATACAAAATTGGTTATGGGGTACAAGGGAGTTTTTTTTTTTTTTTTGTAAACTTGCATTTACCTCAACTTCAGGAGACGGTTCAGATTCTTTGAACTGCTCTAGAGCATAATTTAGATTTGTACGCCTAGAATACGCTATCCCAAACCTCTTGTTAATCATAATAGCTTTGTCCTCAATTTCTTTGGCTTTAATTTCAAGTTTAGGTGGATTGATTTGAGGTGGAGCTGAAAGGTCAAGATGGGCAATCTCACTTTCCTCTTCTTCCTTAATTTTAATCTCCTCCAGAAGATAAGGTTTGATGAAATAAGATTTTTATTCATCAAAAGTAACGTCAGCAAATAGAAGGATTTTCTTGGTAGAGAGATGATAACACTTATAACATTTTTGGGTGGATGAATATCCAAGAAAGGTAAATTTGAGTGCTCTTGGATCTAATTTTTCTCTATTTTGACTATGAATGTAGACATAGGCAGTGCACCCAAAGATTCTGGGTGTGTGAGGTTGTTATGGGTTTGAAATTCAAGGTCAAAAGAGAATAGAATATCCACTGGTGTTTTTAATCCCAAAGTTGTTGAAGGTAATCGATTTATGAAATATATGGCAGTCAGAAGGGCTTCCCCCAGTAGAATTTGGGTACATTGTGGTGGAATAGAAGTG